GCAGCTCCAGCGCAAGGGCAGGCAGGGCGGCAGCTCCCTCCCTCGGCCTCGCAGCCGCCATCTGGGCGAGCTAAAAATAAAAGCTCCCTTCCCAAGCCCGGGTTTATAAATGGGACTGCAAAGGCCCCGACAGACAGGCCCCGGAGGCTGCCTGCCGAGCACCACGTGGCCGGAGCCTCCAGCGCGGCCCGGAAGCCCAGCCCTGCCCGCCCCTCCCGGCAGTGGCCGCCAGAGGGCTGGGTGGAGAGGGGGGTGGTTCTTCATTGGGGCTGGGGAGGCCAGAAAAGGAGAGAGCTGGACCCTGCCTGGGCGCAAGCCACCATGCCCTCACCGCGGCGACAGACACTGTGGGCAGACACTGACCCCCGTCTGCCTCCGGCCACGCTCTTCCTCGCCACTCACCTCGCCCCGCTCTGCCACTGCCCTCGGGCCTCGGGGACCTCAGAGGCAAGCAGCCTCCCCAGCGCCTCCAGGGCGCCTCCCAGGCACTGCCTGCCCCGTGCTGCCTCCCCGTTCCCGTCCGCCGTTCATCGGCGCCCCTGCTCCAGCCTGGGACAGGCGCCTCGCCGCCTGGAGCTGCGCACCTTGCAGGTCCTGCCCAGGGGCGCGGTGGGAGCAGAATGAGGCCCGGGGCGGGGGGTGGCCGCTCCCCTGCAGGGGCTGGTTCCCCAGGTTGGGGGAGAAGCGCGTCCGGCGCCCGCCCCCCGCCCGCCGCAGCCGCCGGAGCGGGCTGGACCTGCAGGCTGAAACCCTGGGAGCCGTGGGTTCCTCGGGGGCGGCCGCCCACAGGTCTCCAGGAGCCGGCCGTGGAGGAAACGGACAGGGCTCCACCCCGAGCCCCTTTCCGCACGGGAGCCGTGATCTCGTCTCGGATCTGGCCACATGGGCCATGGGAAGCAGGGGCCCTGGGCCTGTGTCCGGCCGACCTGATCCCGCGCACATCCCCTGGCCTGACCTTCCTTAGACCCCTCTGCCGTGGGGCCTGGGCAGCGAAGCGAGCTCGCTGGCCCATTGGGAGTACACCTTTGAGGTTCCTCGTCCCAGGAGAGGCGCTGGAGGGGGTCTCAGCGCCTCGCAACCGGTGAGGAGCGGACAGCGACCCGCCTCCCCACCGCCGGCCTGTGCCGGCCTCTGGGCCGACGCAGCGCCCGTGTCTCGCCTTAGTCTGAGCCACGAGGCCCTGGCTGCCTGGCTCTGGCTTCCTCCGCTTTCCTTGCTGCCCTGTCTTTGTCACGCAGTTGCAGCAACCGCAGCTCTTCCCCTAAGGGTGGCGTGACGTCCCATGGAGCGGGAACAGCACTGTGCCCTGGACGGGGCTCTGTTAGTTGGCCGCTGAGGGTGATTTCCAACTGTCCCCATGGCAGCGGTGCTGCACGGGCTGCGCGACCGCGCGGCGCGTGGGAGAGACCGTGGGGCCACCCCCAGCTCGGGCGCCTTGGCTGCGCCGACGGGGCAGCCTCGGCCGCGCGGGGGCATCTTCACCCTCACCCCTGGAGGCGGTCCGCTGAAGTGACAGGAGTATCGGCCGAGACCGCGTTTGGCTGCCAGTGACAGAAGCTCCATTTAAAAGCCACCTGAACAAATGGTGCTTTAATTCTTTTCACGTGACACAAAACTGTACGTCCAGAAGGGCAGGGATTTTGTCGGTCTGCTCACTGCCCCCGCACCTGGAACAGAATGTTCCCCAGGAGGCCCGCGCTGGAGGCGTGGGGTGGTGATGGGACACGAGGCGGGGCGCGGAGGGGGGTCCCTGGCCTTGGCCGGCAGCTCGACATTGTCAAGCCTGGGATTCCCTCAGCCTTTCCCCCGCACTCACCAGCCTCACAGCGACAAAAAGCTGCTGCCACGCCACACATCACACTCTCTCCCAAGACAGGAGGAAGAGGGGAAGACCACGTCAGCTGTGTCTGTCCCCTTTACCAGGGAAGCCGACGCTTTCCCCGAAGCACCCACCAACGTGCCCGCAGCCACTGCGGTATCCAGCTGACTTGGAAACAGGGCGGCTGGCTTGGCCCAGTGCCCCAGGCGCACACCTGGGGCTGCTAAAAAGCAGAAGGCGAAGGGGCAGCGGGCAGAGGAGCAACAGAGGTGGCCACGGCCACGCCCAGTAGAGTGTCCTCGCGGAGCAACGTGAAGTGCACGTTCCCTCGCAGTGTGTTCGGCCCTCGCCGCTGCCGCGGCCCGTCCCCCCAGACGGAAACCCTGTCTGCCTGAGCGGTCACTGCCCACTGCCCCACTGTCCCCGCCCCAGGCTAGGACTGACCTATTTGTCTGCATGGATTTGCTATTCTGGGCATTTCCTGTAAATTGAATCCAACGCTCTGTGGCCCTTTGGTCGGGCTTCCTTCACTAGGCAGAATGTGTTCAAAGTTTACCCGCCTCGTGGCGCGTGTCCGGGCTGCTCCCTACACGGCTGAGTGACACTCGCCGGTGGGGTCAAGGAGCGCTTTGCTCGCCCGCGCGTCCGCTGGCGGGCACGTCGGTTGTCTCCACCTTCTGGCCATGGAGAAGAACGCTGCTGTGCTGGGCGCGCAGCGTTGGGCCGGCCACCAAGTTCGTCTGTTTTCCCGTAAGGTGGCTCTCGTAGCGCATCGCTGTCTTTAACTTCATTCAAAACAATTTTGTTACATTGTATCATGACCACTGTCATATCGGTGTGCACTTTTTTAAAAAAGTATCAAAATGGGTGAATTTTTGTGTAGCCATTTTAATATAGAAGATGGAATACGCAACATTTTTGGTACGTCCTGTTTTATTATGTCAAAAAAGGTAAAAACGCAACTGAAAGGTAAAAAAAAATTTGTGCCGTGTACAGAGGAGGTGCTGTGACTGATCGAACATGTCAAAACGGCTTGTGAACTTTCATGCTGGAGGCTTCTCACTGGACGATGCTCCGCGGCCGGGGAGCCCAGCTGAAGTTGATAATGAGCAAATAGAGACGTTAATTGAGAACAACCAACATTACACCACACGAGAGGTAGCTGATGTACTCAAAACATCTGAATCAATAAAGTTAGTGAGGAAAATGAAAACTGTCTTTTATTTTACAGAGAAAAAAAAATCGTATGGCGCCGGCTAGTGCGGCTCAGTGGCTCAAGCGCCGGCCTGCGAACCACCAGCTCGATGCCCAATCAGGGCACAAGCCTGGGTTGCAGGCCAGGTCCCCAGCAAGGGCTTCTGTGTGCAGCCCCGGTTCCTGGAGACAGGTGCAGGGACAAAGGCCGCATGTCCAGCTGCGGGCGCAGGCGCAGCTGGCGACTCAGGTGTGCACGCTGCCCCTCCCCTGCCGCCCTGAGGCCAGCAGGGGAGGGGCTTTGAGCAGGGAGGTTGCCAGGCCCCCCCAGGGCACCTGGGCTCTGTGGGAAGTGTCTCCGTGCAAAGGGCTCTGCTTTCCTCACCAGAACATCGAGGGAGAGGCCCACTGTCCCCAACGGGGGGGCCTTCCAGCCTGAGGGGGTGCGGCCTGGGTGCTCGCGCCGGGAGGGCGCAAGAACGAGGGCTCCCAGGCAGCAGGCGCCCGGGGAGCCGGGGTTACCCTGCACCTTTGTAAAGCACCTTCCTCAGGTCCCACTTGTGGCCACCGGGGGTTTCACAGTGAACACCCCAGGTTTCGCAGGGGGCTACGACCTCGCCCGGTGGGCACGCTGCCCCCTGCTGCTCCCTCCTGCCCGGTAGCTGCGTGTGGGACAGGCCTGGCGGCGGCATGCGGACCCCAGCTGGGCCCCACACCTCGGGCACGGGGTATGCGCCGCGTGCGTTGTCACGGGAGGGAGAGTGGGCCACTCTGAGGTCAAGGAGGGTGCCGTGTCCAGCGGACACAGGGGAGTCTGCCGCCCCCAGGCTTCAAAGGGCCCCGCTGGGTGGGGGACCAGTGGGCACGGACGGGGAGCCCAGCGCGGGCCCTGGTGGCGGGGCCGAGCCCGGGGAGCCCAGGAAGCCCCAGCCTGCCCGCACCGCTCCCAGCTCCGGCGGACGAGGCCGGGCGGCCGCCCCGCTGGGAAGTGCTCAGCTGCTGCCGGGTCTGGGTGCAGGCACGGACTGGGGGCGACGGGCCTCCGCCTGTGCGACTTCTTCATTCCCAGGTTTTAAGGGGCAGTGCCACCGCGACTCTGGGCGAACCCAGGCCGACTCACAGCGGATGGCCCCTCCGCTTCACCTGCCCGGCCGTGGAGCCAGCCCCGCAGGGAGGGCCCGAGCAGGCCCGCGGAGGGGCCGGAGGCCGCGGGGGACGCGCAGGGCGCCGGGAACCCGAGGGGTGGCCTGGCCAGGACGCGAGCCCTGGCTCTGTCCTCGTGACCTCCTGTGGTGTCCGCAGGTGAGGCCCAGCCCGTGAAAGGACGTGCTAACTGGGCAGGCCCAGGGTCTCCATCGGCCCCCGTCCCCTCCAGGGACGGCGAGAGCAGCTGTTCTAGAAGCCTCCAAGCTCCTGCTCCGCACATGAGCGGCCTACAAGGCGAGGCCTGCCGATCACCATGGAAACGGTGGAGCCAGGCCTGTGGGCCCCTCTGCCACCGTCTCGCGGGCTCCTCCAAAGCAGAAACCTAGGTGAGCAGGAGGGGCGAACCCTCCGCTGGGCCGTCTGGATGTTTTCGAACCTACCCAGCCCATGGCGCCCCCGCCCCCCCGCCACATGGTCAAGGGCTGCTCCTCAGCCGGCCCCAGGCGCCGGGGGGCCTTGCCGGCCCAGCCACCTGCCACCTCCGCGGCCCGCGGCGCCTGCAGCTGCAGCACGGCCACCTGGACAAGGGACTCGAGGACGGCGAGTCAGGAAGGACTTTCACAGGCAGCGTGTTGTACGTCGCTGGGAGCCCTTGACCAAGGAACTCCGCGCCCTCCCGGGTGCACGGCTCCCTCCGAGGCCGCCTCACTCAGCTGGTCGGGGTGACCACCGCGGGGGTCAGGCACGGGTGCCGCCCGCGGAGCCGCCCTCCATGTCGAACGGAGGCACAAAAGCCAAAGTGAATCAGCAGCAAGTGGATCAAAAAGTTTATTTTGAATATTTAATTTAAAAAAATCATACCTATGAGGTGCGCTACAGAAATTCAGATGCCGTAATCGCATATAAACCCAACCTCACTGAAGCAGGCGCAGTGGTAACGCCCCAAGGGCGGGCGCCGGGCCGCCGCCAGACGCCGAGCTGCTCCCTGCGCCCCGGACGGACGCCGCCGCCCACCGCCCCCGGGCTCTGGCTCCCCACACGGGGTCCACGGTGCCACCACAGGGGCGGCCCAGGTCAGAGCACCGGCCATTTACGTCGTATTTTTAGTCACATCAATCCATCAAATTTTATTGTCATTTAAGTTGATACTTTGGCAAAAGAGCACGACTCCCTTCCAGGGAGACGGCGCCGGCGCTCCCTCGGCGAAGCAGCCGTCCCTTCGCAGCACGCGCGTCCACACAGCCGGCTGAGTGCAGGCCTTCGGACCCGGGCGTCTGGGGCCCGCAGCCGGAGCCGCGGGAGGGCAGCGTCTCAGGGGCTGACACTGCACCTCGGGCACAGGCAGGGCTCGGTGGCCCTCCCGGGACCGGGGTGACGGGAGGTGAGGGACCGAGGGAGAGACGGGCGACAAGGAACAAAGACCGGGGTCCTTGCCAAACTCAAGACCTGCGGGACTTCACATGTGAAAGGCTTTTCCATCCGATGTTCAAACTCACGTGCTTTCTAGCAATGTCCCTCAATTCGGACTTTCTACCAGGCCCCTCCCTCCCACTCCGAACACTGACACTCAAGAGGGACTCTCCTGGGGACAGCGACTCCAGCCTGGCACCCACCGGGCAGTGTCGTGGCGGCAGGCGACGGAGGCACAGGTCTCGTGTTTGTCCTGGGGTCTCGCCCGCTGACCGCGGGGGCGAGGACACCATGTACTCGGATGAACTAAAGGTCCCCAAAGTAGCTCCACGTGAGACAATTTGGCAAAAAAAGGAAACACCTTGAATGCATAAAATCAATTCCCCAAGGCCTCCCAAGAACATGATTACAATACATTAGCAAATTCTGTGGCGTGAACATTTTCAGAAGCGTCGGCAGGAGTATTAAATATAAAAGCAGTGCGACGCCCCCGCCCGCCCCGGATGCGGGAGGAAGGCGGGGGAGGGCGGGCGGCGGGCAGCCAGTGGCGGCGCTACGGCCGCAGCTCCACGTAGTTGGCCGGGAAGAGCCCGTACCTGCCCTTGCACAGCCCACGCCACCAGCCGTCGTCGATCATCTCGATGTTGGTGATGATGTCGTCGGGGTCAAAGGAGATCTCGTCGTCGCCCGCTGGGGAGAGGTACGGAGAGTGACAGTGAGGGCCACCGCCCCTCCCAGACCGGAAGGAGCCCCCGCGGCCACCCGCCGGGGAGGGGGCTGGGGCCGTGGCTCGGGGTCACCAGGGGGCACGGGCAGCCAGGCAACTGCGGCGTCTGGCTGCGGACGGTTCAGAGAAAGCCCGAGGATGGGGGCGCAGGGGGGTCTAGGCAGAGAGGTGGGATTTCTGTTAACTCTGAAATTACTTCAGAATAAATCAGTCTATAAAAATGGTATTAACACTGGAGAAGTCAGGCTCTTAAGAGACGAGCGACCGGACAAGGCGCGGGGCACAGGACACGGGACACAGGACACAGTGACTAGCGCCCCCCGCCCCCACCGCCCGCGGCGGCTGCTCACCAGCCTGGTAGTCGTAGAGGGCGATGGCTGTGATCCCGGGGTCGTTCTCATACTCGTCGTAGGCGTTTTCCTCTGGGGGGGGGACCGGACAAGGCCTGAGAGGGCGCCCCAGTCCCGCAGGCACGCAGCCGCCTCCGCTCGGGCTGCAAGCCCTCCCCAAGGCCCGGCGGGAGGAGCCGGACGGCGGGGGGCCCTGGGCGCCAACCGGGAGGGTGGGTTGTGGGGAGCCAGGCGCCTTCTGGCAGCGACGGACCCCGGCTCCCAACTCTGACACCAGCCGGTGAACTGGCCTCACCAGCTCTGAGCATCACATTTAAATTCCAGCACTGAGCCCCAGCTGGTGTGGCTCAGTGGACCGAGCGCCAGCCTGAAAACCAAAGGGCCGCCGGTTCGAGTCCCAGTCAGGGCCCAGGCCTAGGGTGTGGGCCAGGTCCCTGCTAGGGGGTGCACAAGAGGCAACTACACATGGACGTTTCCCTCTCTCCCCCTCCCTTCTCCTTTCTCTCCCTCCCTTCTCCTTTCTCTCCCTCCCTTCCCCCTCTCCCAAAATAAAATCTTAAAAGTAAATTTTAGCACTGTTTAGCACTGAGCCCTTCTAGATGGGTGGTGTCACAATGTGTGACTGGACATGGAAGACAGCGCCCCACGCCTGTCACGCTCGGGGAGAAGGTCTGCGCCCTGCTGACACCAGCGGTCCTGTGGCCCAAGGGGGGAGGGGCCTATGGCAGGTCTGTCCTAAGAGACCAAAGGAACCCTTACAGTCACGTAGAGGCTGGTTTTAGTGTCTGTCCGACTGAGACATCTCTAAGGCCCCGGGTGCGCCGGCTCCTGGAGCCAGGCTCTAGGGGACACTCCCCAACTTCTGCTTCCAAGGGGCCACAGCAGAAGCCCCTTCCTTCCCGCCCGCCCCACCCCGGCTCCCGGGGTCTAGAGCCGGACCCTGCGGACACGGGCAGCCGAGGGGGCAGGCCCGCCCCAGGAGATGGGACCGACCGTCAGAGGCGCAGAGGCCGAAGGGGAGGTGGCGGGCCCATACCTCCTGCGTAGTGGCCCGGGGCCTCTGTGCTCTCGTAGACAGCCTCGGCGGCGTAGGCCCGGCCCTGCGGGCTACCGGCCTCCCGGTAGTCGGAGGTTTCCCTGCCACACACAGGCTCGGGCTCGCTCACGGGGACCCCACGGCTCGGCTCGGCCTTGAACGAAGCAGCGTCCTGCGGGGAGTCAACGAGACGTTTCTCATGGCCTGTCCCAAGTCACCGACACACCATCTAAGCCCCGTGGGCAGAGAAAGAGGCAGGGCCTACGGGAAGGCTTGGGGGCCAATCGTGGCATGGTGCCCCTCCCCCGAGTAACCCAGCACACCCAGCACCCCCGCCCTCCGGACACGGAGCCTCCCGGCCTGTCGGAGCCGCCACTGTCGGTACGGCTGGCCTGGTCTGCACAGGCGCCCCAGAGCCCCTGGGGTCCCCAGCCCTCCTGTGGCCCAGAAGACAGCAGCTTCACGAGGTCACTGTGAGAGGTGGCTGTCCTCACCCAGCGTGTGGGGTGGGAGGGCGGGGCCTGTGCGCCCCAAGAGAGCACAGGGCCTCGGGGAACCCGCAGACTGCCCCACGAGGCTGCTGAGCCCTACGGCACTCTAAGCGGTCCAGCGCCGCCAAGGCTGACCGGCGTATCCAGCCCGGGTCTGCTTGAGGGCCCCTCGGTGCATCGGGGAGAGGCGCACAGGGCAGCTCTACTAGGAGCCGGGGAGCAGGCACTGGCTTTTGATGGAAGGAGATCAGAGAGGACGCCACCTTTGGGCCAGATGCTAGAGCCTCTCAAGGCTTAACCTGCAGGCAGGCAGCTATGGCCCAGGTCTGTTTGGACAAGCTTCCCCGGCTGCGAAGGGAGCAGGCGGAGATCTGAGGTCAGGTCGCAGTGTTGGGCCCACGATGGCTGCCCAGCGGCACCCCGAGCGGGTCAGCGGTTGGGGGGCCTGTCCTAAGGTGCCCTGCCCTCTCCGCCCATCACAGAAGTCACAGTGCCAGGTCAGCATGTCAGCCCAGCCTCCCCCCGGGGCCGGCTCCTCAGGGACCGACCCACAGTGGAACACGGCGAGGCGGGTGGCACAAGGCCCCCTCTCCCTGGTTTACAGGCTGTGAGGCCACGCCCTGCCCGGAAGCACCCCCGTGGGGATGGGACCGAAGCCCAGCTCTCCCCGCCCCCTTCACGCCTGGGCCGAGTTTGATCCGCGGTAGTGCCTTGCAACCCTGGGACCTCTGAGTGGGGAAAGATGACAGGCATGTGAGCCAGGGCCATGGCCACAGGACAGAGAGGACGGATTTGGGGCTCAGCCGGGCTCGGAGCTCGTGCCGACCCCACGGTGCAGGGTGGACACGCAGCCGTCACTCAGCGATCAGGAGGGCACATGGGGGGGTGTGTGACAGCCTGCCCCTGGGACACAGGCGGTGGGTCACCAGGCCCCGATGACAGGACTGAGGGGAAAGGGCTGCCCGAGAGGAGCCGAGGGGGAGCCGGAGAGGCCAGGGGAGTGCGGCTCCGAGCGGGAGCAGCAGCCGGGTGCCGGGGTGCGGGTTCTGGAAGGGAGATGGTCAGGGCCACAGCGGCAGAGTAAGGGGGACGATGGGCAGGAACCGTCCCACCAGGCGGCCTCGGGGTGAGGGCGGAGGCTGGGCGTGAGCCTGGGGGCCCGGCCCCGGGAGGCTCCTGCCCAGACCCCACATCCCCTCCAGGCGGGCCTCTCGCGGAGCGGGGGTGGGGGTGGGGGCGCCCTGTCCACGGTGGCACCGGCCGGGAAGGGCGTCCCGGGGAAGCCGGGCTCCTCTGCCCGCAGACACCGACCTCATAGATGGGGCTGGACGGCGGCCTCTCCTGAGCCGGCTGCGGGGTCGGGGTCGCTGGCGGGCTTTGCCTCTGGGCTCTGGCCTGCTCCTGTAACCAAAAGCAGCAGCGATCAGGACACCCCGGGACACCGCAGACACCCGGACGCCCGTGCCTCCCAGGCGGCCGCACCCGGCCTCGCGCCCACGGCCGCCGCGCTCACGTCCAGCTGCCTCCGGGCCTCCTCCTGCTCGCGCCGCTCCCTGGCCATCCTCTGGGCCCGCTCCGCTTCCGCCCGCCGCCGGTCCTCCTGCTCCTTCTCCTTCGCCAGGTTCTCAAAGTTAGCTCTGATGTTGCTGGTCTTGCTGTTGGCTGCAGAGGGCGGGGAGGGGAGGGTTCCCCGGACATCACATGCCACCGTCGCCCAGGACGGACCGAGGTCCGCACAGGTGACCAATCCCGTGGGCCCAGGCAGCCCCGAAACAACGGAGAGCCGCCCCCCAGCACCAGCGTGGCGACCCCGTGGCCTTGTGCCCGCTGCTGCGCAGCCGGACGGACACACGCCACGAGCGTGTTGCAGACCCAGGACACACCTCCTGCTCCAGGCCTCACTGCCTTCTTGACCCCACACCCGGAGGAAAAGGGCCCACGGCCCCGAGGGGCTCCCGGAGGGTGTGTCTCCCCATGGGGGGTGGGGGGCACACACAGCGCAGCCGCGTGGGAGGCCCAGGCTGTGCCGGGGAGACGCGCATGTGTCTCTGAGCGGCAAGCTGGGCTCCCTGACGTAGACGCGTTTGGGGCCCGGTGGGCACTTCCTCCCAATGAACAAACAGCCTCTCAGTCGAGAAAAACAGTATTTGCCGCGATGAGCCACACCAGAGGGCCAGACGCCGGCTCCCACCGCCGGGAGCAGGGTGGCTTCCCGGGGGCACCGCGGGGCCGTGGCCGCGCCCATGGGCTGTGGCTGAGTGCGGCTTCTCGGGCACCGTCCGGTGGCATGGAACGCAACACTGGGGAGGTCAGCACCGCTCAGTGGTCCAGCATTTTCCAAACGACAGCACCTGTCACACGCCGCTCCGAGCGGGGAGGCACCTTCAGGACACCCCGGGGCCCCGCCTGCGGGGCTGCAGGAGACAGGGACCCGCGGGGCCTGCAGAGGCCCTGGCAGCGCCCCCGTCCAGGCACTGCCTCGGGGAGCCCGGACACCCCCCCCAGAGAGCAGCCTGAACGCGGAGCAGCGGCCAGAAGCCAGGGCCCACGTGAAGGAGGGTCACAGAAGCGCACAGCGCCGCCGCCCACCCCGGCTGGCACGGCTTGGCGGGCTGAGCGCCGCCTGTGGACCACGGGGCGCCGGTTCGATTCTGGGTCGGGGCACAGGCCTGGGCTCTGGGCCGGGTCCCCTTTTGGGGCCGTGGGAGAGGCAACCAATTCATCTAACTCCCACATGGACGTTTCTCTCCCTCTCTTTTTCCTTCCTTTCCCCTCTCTCATAAAAATAAGTAAATAAAATATTTTAAAAATACAATGCCATCCTCCTGCACTTTTTTCCCCAGTAGTTACTTTTTGTATAAAAAGTGTGATTAGTTTGTGGTCATTTTACAGTTTTTAAATGCACTAACGGCACACCCCTACACGGAGGCTCTCTGGGACCGTCCTCCACGTGCCCAAGGGTTCTCAGGCCACCGGGCCTGCAAGCTGCCGGCCTCTGGCGTCCACAACGAACACCAGGGGGCGCCCTGCTCCCTGGTTTCACTTTGTCTCCACTTTGTACCTCCTGCAGCATTTCCCCAACTAAGCGGCCCCTTCAGGGCGCACCCCTGGGCTGAGCTGTGTGCCTGGGACCTGGACTGCAGGCACCTTCCCCACGGCGGCCACCGCAGAGGACGGGCTGCGTCCACCTGCTCGGGACAGGCAGGCCTTGGCGGAGGCTGCAGGGTGGGGACCCGCCTGGGAACTAGTACAAGAGGTGGGCGGCCCCCACGGACAAATGTGCCGCTACCCCAGTTCCACTTCGGGAAGCGCCCCCGACCGGAGCAGAGCCCCGCTGCCAGGGAGCCACCGCCGGCCATGTCTGAAAGGTGCCCTGAACTTCCGTGGATCGTCCATCAAAAGGGAACGAAATCCTCCCGGAAGCCACGCAGGACGGCCACGGCGCCCCCCCCCCCGCCCCTTCCCAGGGCCCCAGGAGCAGCGCAGCACGGCCAAGCCTGCCAGGACTCACCGGCTTCCACAGGGACCGTCTTCTGATACGTGGAGGACACCTTGGAGACGTCGTCAAAGGTGGAGGCGTTCTGCCGAGACAGGAACGGGCAGTCGGGGCGCTTTCTTCACACCCCGTGACGGCGCCCACCTTACACATGAGCTCGAGCTGCCCTGAGCCTCCGCGAGAATCCCCGGGGCCTGCGGGCTTCACGGCTACCTCCGTCTTGCAAACTCACTGAGGCACTGACAGCCTGCGAGACACGCCTGCTGGCAACCAGACGCGCCAGGGCCGGAGCACAAACCCGCCTGCCGGAGCCGGGGAGGCCAGGGGGCGGTGGCGCCGTGGGCCCAGGGCAGTGGGCCCCTCTGTGCAGGGCACGGCGATGGGGCCACACACGTCCACTGTGCGGACAGCCCCCAGACCTGGGCAGTCACCCCGCCTGAGGCTCAGGCTCCTGGCTGCACACGGGGATGGGGAGAGAGCGGGAGGGCGGGGCGGACGGGACAGGGAGAGCGCACCTCGCTCGCAGGAGTAACTGGGCAGCGCGGCATGTGGCACCGGACGCATTTCGTGCCCGCGGTGCCACAGGGCTGCCGGTCACTGTCCTCCCTATCACCAGGGACCACGGTCACCGCCACACACAGGCTGCCTCACCTCGGCCTGAGGCCACCACTGTGCTGGCCAAGGCCACCTTCCAGGGACCCTCCATTCCACACCACACCCCGCCCCCCCGGGTCTGCCTTCCACGCCCCATGTGGACACTTTGAGGCGGCCGGGGCGAGGACCCGAGGACACTCTCCTGACCCTGGGCCCCTGGAACCGACTGGAGGGGCAGGCCCGACAGAGGAGCCAGCCCCTGGGCAGGGGGCACGCGCGCCTCCGCGGGAGCAGCTGGGGGGCTGTGCCTGGGTCTGGAGGGTGCCGCCCCGGGACCTGGTCCAAGGACACACGTGCCTGCGTCCCTGCGCCTGCAGGGACAGTGCTGCCGCATGTGGCATGAGTGCGCCTGCCCTGGCGGCTGAAACTCGTTTGGTTTCCTGCTGACTCCTTCCCAGCCAAGCGTCCCGTGTCCCCGAGGCCTCGTGCCGGCCCCCGTGGCTGCGAGTCTGGGGTGCAACGGCAGCCCGCCTCTCGCCCTGATGGGGACCTGGCTGTAATACGAGGCGAGGGCAGCACGTGCCTCACAGCACAGCCGTGAGGGCACAGCCGGCAACCGCCAACACGCCCGGCGCGGCCTGACACACGTCAGCCCTCTCCAGCCAAAGCGCTGACACCGGAGCTCCAGCCGTTCCTGGGCCTGCCGACGGCAAACACGAAGCCCGGGGCGGGACCGACACTCACCTTGTCCATCCGGTCCTTCTGCACCCCGTACTTTCCGCCGAAGCCTTTGGAGTAGTCTGAAATGTGGCACAGCACAACACTTAGTCTTGGGCGGGGCAGGCGCAGGGCGGCGGGCAGACGCACGCAGACAGACCCCAAAACAGCTCCAACGTGCACCCAGAGCGAAAAGACGCCCAGCCAGGAGTCTCCTCCCGTCTCCTCCCAAGGAGCTCAGCAGGGGAGGCAGGAGAGAGCCGAGCGGTTCCGGGTGCTGGGGGCGTGTCAGGGGCGTGGCCGGCCCACCAGTGCAGCCCTCCCAGCAGTCTTCACGGCCAGTGGCCTCCGGCACGGAGGCCGCTTGACCATTGACCTCAGGCTTGCTCACGCGCGTTAAAAGAAATCCCACGGAAAACTCTACCAGCCAAGTCCTCTACGTGGCCATCACGCCGTTGTGTGGCACTGACGCCACGCAGAGCCATGGCCTCGCCCCGCGTCTCCCCGGGGCTCAAAGCCCCGGTGCTGCCCTGCGGCTCGGGACTGGATGTGTTTTCCAATAGGTTCTGACCCCTGGGTGCCAATGTTGGCGGCCATCAAATAACTGCTCGAGGGGAAACGCGTCTGCTCTCGGACCCCGCACACAGCCCACTGTGCACGCGCCCTGCAGGTCTGCGTGCGCCACGCTCGCTCAGGGGAAGGCACACAGAGAGGGCGTCTTCGAGGAACCGCCCTCTCAGAGCCAGAGAAACAGACACCACAGGCCCCAGTGGCCAGCCCAAGCCCCCGCTCCACGTCGGGGCACGAGGCGGCTTCCACGGGGACGCACTGAAGCTGCCGTCACCGGCAGAACTCCCGCAGGAGGCCACCGGGAGACCAGACCCCGGGCCAGGAACCAGCCACGTTGTGGGGTTGGAGTGACAATCGTGTTTGACACAACTCACACCCTGGAGGTCATGGCGGGAAAAGTGGATGGGGGAAGGGAGGCGCGAGCTGCAACGGCCCGCGCAGCACCCGTCCGAGCCCTGGGCGGCGTGGCTCCGTCTGTGGGAGCGTCAGCCCATGAACCAAGCCGGGGCAGGTTCGATTCCTGGCCAGCGCACGTGCCCAGGCTGCGGGCTCAGTCCTCTCAGGGCGCCTGCGGCAGGCTACCAAGTGGTGTTTTTCTCTGTTTCTTTCTCTCCCTCCCTTTCTCGTTCTCCAAAAGCCAATTTTTAAAAAAAATCCTCTGATGAGGATTAAAAAAGATTTTTTTAATTAAAAAAAAAATAAATAACCTAAAAGGCCCCAGTGCCCAACAGATGCAGTGGCAACTGGGAGAGCGGAGCCTGAAGTCTGTGCTCGGAGCCGCTGCACTGGCCCGGGGGGCGGGGGGCGGGGGCGGGGGGCGGGGAGGGAGAGACGGGGCGGGGCAGCTGGGCCCTGCTGGGACTCGTGCTTGGCTCGTCTCTCCTAGTCATCAAACCCCACAGCACAGGGGTCCTGCCTCTGAAACCAGCCTTATAACCTGACGGGGAGACACCGAGAGAAGAGCGCGGTTAGAGTGGACGAGCATGAGCATGTCAGACGCGCGTGGAGAGGGCGGGTCTGTGGGGCGTGGGGCGGACGGGCCCACCCCCGGCGCCCGACGGGCACGGGTGGGCTCACAGGGCCAGCGGGCGGACTGGACACCCGAGCGCGCCAGCCCGCTCCTGAGAGCAGGTTACGGGCTGTATCTGAAGTAACGCAGTAAAGCCACCCCATGCCTGCAAGTCTTCCGGGGCCCTTCCCGGGCCGCAGACCAGAGCGCGCGCCTCTGAGCGTGCGAAGACAGAGACCCGCTACGCTCAGCCTCCGCAGGGACGTCACCAGCCCTGCTCCGGGCTGCAGGCCGCAGGCCGGGGACCCGTCTGGGTCGCGCTGCTCTCCCAGGGGTGGGTTTCGTTCCGACGGGAAACACTCCAGTAGAGGGAGCGTCTCCTTCCACAAACGGCGGCCCCCTTCATCACCAAGAGGCCACGGGCTGGGGACCCTGTCGCCCCACGGCTGCCCCCAGGAATGCCGCGGCCGTGCCCGGCCGCCCGAGCGGGCGCGCACCCCGCCTTCCCAGTGCCCCCCGCCCCCCCGCAGGAGAGCGGAGCGGGGATCGCTGCAGGGGCTCGTTTCCTCAAGACTGGGAGGCGCAGGAGCACCCCAAAGAGCAAAGACAAGACCACACCACCAGGAAACGCAGCGAGCACAGGGCAGGCTGGCCCTGGGGCGACCCCGCGCACGCGCCGGCCAGCGCCATACCTTTCTGGGACTCGTGCAGCTGCAGCCTCTCCTGGTGGTCCCAGCCCAGCGCGCACTTGTCCTGTCTGTCCGTCTGCACGCCGAACTTCCCCCCGAAGCCCTTCACGTAGTCTGCGGACACAGAGGCGGGCCGTGAGCCAGCGCACAGCCAGCTCGGGGAGCGGGGGGAGCCTGTTTTCGCCACAGCTCATGCACACACTCGCCCGGGCCGGCCGTGTCCTCCCGGGCGTCAGGCCACACTCGGGGTGACAGGAAAGGGACCCGCCACAGGGTGCCTAGGAAGGACCCCGCCCGTGGGCTCAGTTTTGGGAACATACACGCAGGACACAAAGGAGACGCTCCCAGGCCGGGACACCACAGAAAGGCCCCTAAACAGCCCGGAAGTGCACCCAGAGCGAAAAGAGACGAGAGGCGCCCAGCCGCGCACAGACCCGGACGTGCAACCGCCCCGGCGTTGGAGCCCAGTGTGGAGACCGGGTCCGGCTGCTCTGGGGCTGCGGCTGCACAAACCGAGACCCACAGCCACTGGCTAAGCGCTGGGCCTCGCTCCCGCCCCGGTGACCACCCATCGCAGTGGTCTGCGGGCAGGGACAAGGTCACATCGACGTCACCTTTCTGGGACTCGTGCTTCTCTGTTTTGCCTTGGTACTCGAACCCGACAGCGCTTTTATCCACCTTGTCCTTGTCGATGCCGTACTTGCCACCAAAGCCTCTGGAGTAATCTAAAAACCGAGAAGCACTGCTTACGCACCAGCAAGGAGATCGGCGAGCACGTCGTCTTTAAGGACTTGCATCACACAAGCAGAACAGACTGGAAGGTTTTCAGGCTCTGTAATCGCCGAGGACCACGGGAGACATTTAAAGCAGATTCACAGGCAATCCAAGCGCGGAGAGCAGTTAAGGCAGCAGGCTGGTAACGGCTCCCTTCCTGCCCCCTGAAGATGCACGGGACAACCACGTGCCACAAAGCGGGGCGGTCAGGGCCAGCCACAGTCGCAGCTCTTCCTACAGTGAGCGAGCCGCACCCGCCTGCAGCCCCTTCCTGTGACCTCCCACATCAGTTCTGCTCAAAGGCACATCGCTTCAAGAGGGACTGCCACACAGAGGCACACAGCTCCGTGGACACGTGAACGGGGTATAACGCAAAGGTCCGACGCCTTCCGAGAGGGCCAGCGGCCGCGCGGAACCGGAGGTTCGCCCCAGCAGGTCGGCCCGTGCTCCCCGGCCTCCCAGACCTCGCAGGGACAAAGCCCGCGTGCACTGCCCAGGGACCCACGCACGTCCCGACTCGCAGCACGCACGCGGAGCCGCGGAGCACCCGGAGGCGCGGTGCCGGCAGAGCCAGCGAGGACGGCGAGGAGGGCAGCGGGCAGAGGCCGCAGCGCAGTGGGAGGCGGCACCACAGCCGAGCGCCGAGCGGCCCCGCAGGCCCACGGGCCGAGTCCCGGGAGACAAGCTGGGCTGTGCTTCCCATACCTGCTTTTTTCTTTTCAAAAGAAACCTGAATTTTTTAAATATGTGGGTGATCTGTTTTCCAATGACGGCACTTATTTTAAAAATGTGAACGTGCAGGCCAAGAAACAAAAGCTGCCAAGGACCAACGAGGAGGACCCCTACAGGGGTGCGTCTCAGCCTCGGGGACACAGGCCCGCGGTCAGGGGTCCGTGACTGACCACCGACAGGCCTCGGGACGACCTGGCTCCTCGGCCCACATGTTCAAGTCCCTGTCCTGGACCAGGAAGTCCATTCCTAGGAATGTGTTCTTGAACAACCGCTTGCATACTTAAGATACAGGTGTAAAAATACTGCAGCAAAGTCTCTGCATCAAAGAATAGGAAATCACCTGAGCCCTATGCTGAAGATGGCACATTACACAGATCACATAATCGTCACACTGCGGACGACTGAGCCGCCATTACAAACATGGCGAACCCGCCGCCTTGGCCCGAGAAGAGCAAGCGCGTGCGGGCACTTATCGAAGACCCTGTGTGAGCACAGCGCCCCCTGTGGGCAGGGGAGGGAGCGCCCGGGCAGGGCAGGGCGCCCGCGGCGAGAGGCGCGTGTCGCGGACGGACCTTTCTGGGACTCGTGCTTCTCCGTCTTGCCCTGGTAGTCGAAGCCCACCGCGCTCTTGTCCACGCGGTCGGCCTGCACGCCGTACTTGCCGCCGAAGCCGCTCGAGTAGTCTGGGGGGACAGGAGTTGATACAGAAGTGCTGTCACTTTGGTTAAACTAAGTGCAGGTGCAATGCACCAAGAGGCCCAGCACACACTTTAAAACGCACGAGGAGCCGCGCCCGCAGCACGAGTGACGCCGGGCACCAGGCGGTCCGAGGACACGGCTTTCACGCCCATGGGGGCGCTGCAGCCCCCCCCTTGAGAAACGAGGGCCGGCAGGTGCAGGATGCCACACGGGGCCCATCCAGAAAGGACCCACCTGCCCCCCACCCCCTTGCCGGACGGCCGGCGCTCACGCCCCAGGGCTGGTGCGGGGGCAACGCTGAGGCGAGCAGGCCCTAAAGAAGGGCGGCGACGCGGTGCCCACGGCCCAGCGTGCACGGGGACGACGTCGGGGGTGCCACAGCCCGCCTTCCTGGGGCGGGGGGTTTGGGGGGCTAAGCGTTCTGCCAGCAAAGCCCCAGAGCAAACCTCAACGGGGACCTCGCTGCGTGGACCCCAGGGACGGCAGACGCTGGGGCCTCGTGAGCGGGCGGCATCGGGGGCCCGCACGGCACCCAATACACCGCGTGACCCTCGCTGCGGGAGGGACCGCCCCCGAGGACGAGGCCCCAGGGGACGGTGTGCCCCCCCGCCCGCCCGCCTCTTCTGCGGCCTACCTTTCTGGGAGGCGTGTTTCTCAGTTTTCCCTTGGTACTCAAAGCCCACAGCAGACTGTGGGGACAAGAAACAGGGAAAGGCATTTTTAAGTGCTCCCAGTTAGTCCGAATCCACGAGCCGCGTTGTTTTTCGACCCCGGTTCCCTAAGCCAGGCGCAGGTCTGACTGACCTCCGGAGCCCTGGTGCGTGGAATGTGCAGCCCACACGACGTTCGTCGAAGCCCCGGGCCACCCCGCAGGCCGGCGGCTGCGGAGCTGGTTTCGCTCACGCATGTCCGCCCCTTAGTGTCACTCGGGAAGCTTCTCCACCGCCACACAGGCTCGCTTTCCAGGCGAGCTCTGCAGAGAGCAGCAGCGACGCCGACCAGGAGCGCAGGCTCTGGGCGCCAGCCCTCAGCCCCGTGGGACGGCAGCAGCTCCCCGCCTCCCAGGCCGCGGCTGCCACCTCACGCCAAAGCCCGGGCTCTCAGGTGCCGCCCCATGAAACAAGGGGGTGACTGAGCCAGAGAGTGAGGCCACAGGCCGGGGCCCCGGGCCGCCAGCACAGCGCCCGCAGGCTGCAGGCAGCGCTGACGCCGTCATGCTGCCGCCCGGGATCCGAACGTGGCCCCGTCACAGTGACCTCCGAGCAGGGAGGGTGAGGGACGTGGTCCCCGCTGGCACATGCCCGGGCCCCCTGAGGCCCCCTGGTCCGTCCGATGAGCAGGCGTGAGCCGGGGTTTCTGCGGCCGACACCAAGGGAGCCCTCGCACTCAGCTGTTCTCGCCTCTAACCCAGCCAGCCTGTCACCTCTGAGCCACAGTCCCAGAGTCAGAGGGGCCTCCGTGGGACCTTGAGAGGCCCGGCAGACACCACGTGCACCTGGCAGAAGGCGCCGATGTAGAGGAAGTCACCCCTGGCCCTTCAGCAACCCTGGTTCCCAGCGCGGCACTCACCTGGTCAACTCTGTCCACCTGGACACCGAACTTGCCTCCGAAGCCCCGGACGGAGTCGACCTGCGAGCAGTGCTTGGAGAGCTTCGACTGGTACTCGTGGCCGACAGCCGACTGCAGCGGGCGCAAACGCAGGGTCTCAGACGCCCGCCCGCGCGCCGCCGCCACGCCAGACCTGTCCCGGTGCGGGGGTCTCCGTGGGGCAGCCCCCTGGGTGGGGCAGGCGCTCCTTATTTACCCGCCCCCCCCCAGAAAGACAGGGCGGGAGCTCTGATTCCTGGGGCATTGCAGGCACAGCTCCCGCGGGGGGATCCCCACCCGCTCCCTCAGCCACGGGCTCCCCGAGAAGCCCAGCCAGGTGGGGCTTCCAACAGGCCTGGGTGGGAAGACGGGACCCCTGTCCAGAAACCACAGGGCCAGCAGCCTGCCCATGACCCCAGAGCCCGTGGGAGGGGAGGTCGCGACACACAGTCGGCTGCCAGAGTGAGGCGTTTCCACACCACAGGACCCAGGTATCGGAACCTGAGCACCCATTTTGCTAACGCATTCAGGTAAAAACAGGCGTGCTTTAGCTACGACCGAGGCCCACAGTGTGCCCCGCCCGGGCCTGGAGCAGGCCGGTCCCGCAGCGTCCCCGCCCCTGGCCGGCACAGGAGGAAGCCCGGTCAGCCACGGGTGCTCCAGGCCGCGCCACTGCCCGCTTCCCACCCGGCCTGTGGGCCACACCCACGCCGGCCCCTGCAGGTGGACAGCTTTCCGGAGCCAGCAGCGCCGACCGCGGGGACTCAGGGGCCGGGGGCCACAACACCACAGTGGGCCCAGGGCCCGCAGACCGGGAACGATCACACCCACACTCAGTGGCCCGACCTGCCCAGCCACGCTGCCCCCGCCAGCCCCCAGGTCAGAGTGGACAGTGGTCAGGGACCCCTTCAGGGACAGCAGGAACACAGGGCATCTGAGCCGCACGCGACCCCGGGCAGGAAGTCCGTATGGCCCGGGAGGGGCCCCAACACACCGCCTGGGGCAGGAAGGGCCTGTTGGGGCCTGGCAGACGCCCCCCGCACTGGGGTGCCGGGTCTCACACAGCAGGGCCTCGCCGGCGCTGCCGCCCCACGGGCACCTCTGGGCCCAGACCTCCCACAAGCCCAGGAAAGGCAGGTGTTGCCGAGACTTCAGGGCTGTGTCTCTGTCTTCTCCCAGCTTTGCTCCAACGTCTGCAGCCAGGCCCGGGACCCCCAGGCTCTGAAACCTGCGACGGAGACCGCCCACCACGGCCTCCAGGGCCACACGCAAACACGCGGCAGCAGCCCCAGGAGGTGCGCACAGCACGGGCCTCGTGGGGAGGAGGTTGCAGGGAAGCAGTCGAGAGACGCGGCCAGAGGGGCGGCGTGTCCGTTCTCCCCATTTTCTGACTGAGATAGACCACGGCCAACTGCCCGTGACCACAGACCGGCCGTCACACTGGGCGGGCCCCAGACGCGCCCAGGTCTGGGGTGCAGCTTAGACGAGGGGTGGAGCCCACCCCGCGGGCCTGGGGGGGCACAAGGGGCTCGGGCTGCGGTGCGGACAGGCCCAGCGGCCGCCGCCGCACCCGCCCGTTGGGTGCTCCCCAAACAGGCCTGTTCTGGAAGCCTCTGCCACGTGCTCCCCAATTCCCAACACGGAGATGTCAGGCTTTTTGTTTTTCTTCAATTTCTAAAGAGGAAAAGGCACAGGTAACAGGAGCAACCTGCACCTGGGTTTGAAATCAGTTACTTCCACGCGGGCGGGCAGCCAACCTTCCCCAGACGCGCACTGGGGCCCACAGGGGACGCGGGCGGGCAGTGTCCCTGCTGGTTCCGTCTTTGGAAGTGACCGCCCGGCTACGCCCTTGCGGGAGGCGACAGCGTGCCCCCGGGCCGGAGGGGGCAGCTCGGCTCCCACAGGCGCCCGCCTGGCCGGCCCAAGGGGAGGGCGCGTCTCGGCCTCCGGGAGTCTCTGGGGAGAGGGCAGCAGGACGGGGCAGCAGCGATGACACAGGGAGGCAGCGGGTGGCGGGAGGGGCACAGGGCGAGGCGGCCATGGGCCCGAGGTCGCACCCGCCGGAGAGGCTTCCTGGGCCAGAGAGGCCCAAGCCAGGCGCCGGCAGGAGCGCTGGCATCCCGGCAGCGGCAGCGGAGCCGGAAGTGACGACGATGTGGCTGCTCTTATCAAGCGAGTCCCCTCCGGCTCTCATTACTTTCGCCGACCGGTCGGCGCCGCCCCGGGCCTGCGGCCCCATGCTTCTGACGACTCCCTCTGGTTCTCAGTGTCCCTGTCCCCAGGAGCAGGGCCTGGCAGTGGAGGGGCTCCCCTTTTGCCCCTGCCCTGGACACTGGGGCTTGTCCAGCTGCGCCACCAAAAGCTGCCAGACTCTGGAAACCCAGAGACAACTCCGCTCCCCGCTTTCCCTGCTCCAGTGTCAAGTCATCTCCGGAGTGACAGTCACACTGCCAAGCGTCCCTGTCTCTTTCCTGCAGCTTGCTCTCACTCCGGGCTAATTCTAGACATGGCTTGGGGGGCCCGGGGGCCCCACATATCTGTCCTGTGGTGACAGAGCATGAGGCGCCGTGACACGGCTCAGACGCTGAACCCGAGCCGCGCACAAGGATGGGCATGGAATTTCAGAGCAGAACCCGACACCGGCGGACGCCCCCCACCGGCAGGAGGCGGACCTGGGCCGGCAGGTGCTCAGGTGCTCGCAGAGCTCGGCAGCGGGTCCCCCGCCCGAGCCGAAAGGAAGAAGCCGCCCTGCCTGGAGATAAACCCAACAGCCTGCTCTGTCCTCTGCTGGGGGCGCCAGCGCTGCCCCACGCCCGGCACTGTCAACGCCGAAACATTCTGCCGGCACCTCTGTCACCGTGAGCGCGCACTTGCCTGGCCCACGGCCCCGACCCGGGTCGAGTGGTCCCCCCGGCCCGGTGGGCAAGGCTCCGCGCCGGGAGCCGGGCTGCTCCCCAAAGGTCACTAAACGCACGAAGGATGTCAGCATGTCCGATGGCTGCGCCTTCACCCATGACGGAAACGAGGGGCCCGGGGCCTGGTTTTGGTCTCTGTCCCATCCCCCATGCGGTACGACTCAGGCTGCACGCAGACGCAGGGGCGCAGTGATGCCAACACCCGCAGCCCACAGGCCTGGCCTCGGGGAGCCATCCCCGCACTCCAACGCCACGCAGGCCCCGCCCCCGCCCTCTCCAGCGTCGCTGGGGCCCTTATGGGAGCATCAGGCTGCCGGAGCCCTTGATGAGTAAGGTCAACTTGCGGAGGGCAGCTTATGGCCCATCTGACCCTCAACAAATTGACCACGTGACGAACGGGTCTGAGGGCCTCCGGCGCCAGCCTGGCGGGCAGCCCAGGCCGGCCAGGGGCTGGGTGCGGCGGTGGCCGGCCACTCACCTTGTCCATCCTGTCCTGCTCCACGCCAAACTTCCCTCCGTAACCGTGCGAGGCCTTCGGTCCTGTCTCCAGCTCCTTCTCCTTGAGGGACTGGTGCTCCTGATACACATTCTCCCTCAGCTTGTGGATGCTGGAAGGGGAGGGGTCGCACACATGGCGCTGCGGGCCCAGGCCCCCGCCCGCCCCACGCGCTCTCCTCCGGGCCCTGCCGGCAGCAGTGCGCGCCGGCAGCACGGAGCTGCAGGCGAGGCCACTTGGGCCACAGACCTGACCGCGGGCCGTGCGCCCCCATGCCCCCCCGCGGGGCTGCCCTGAAACGCAAACTCTCCTCCTTCGCTGCACACGCGAAAAGCCGCTCGCGTTCGTGGTGACTGAGCAAGGACATCGCGTTCTGGGAATGGCACCCGAGGCAGAGGACGGGCCACAGCCAGACGCCCCTTCCGCAGGTGTCCCTGGGACACTGGTCGAAGCCCGGTGACACAGGACACTAGGACAGCATCCCTTCACCCGACATGCTCCAGCTTTTTATATGGTCCAAGGCGCAGTGAAAGACTCAGGGTATGTGACCCAAAAGCCATTTTTTACTGTGAACACCAGGGGCAGGGACACATCACAAGACATGGGCGAGTGCGGGCGTCTCCACGGCTGTCACTGTCAGGGGCCCTGGGACGGCGTGAAGCTGGGGTGGGGGGGGGGGGGGCGGCACGTGCCTGGGTTGCAGGTTCGGTCCCCAGTTGGGGTCCGTATTAGAAAGAGCCAACTGATGCTTCTCCCTCACATGGGCCTGTGCCCCTTCCCCGCCCCCCCAAACTTTAACGAGCATGTCCTCAGAAGGAAAAGGAAAACAGGAAGCAAGCCTCTTACTCGATGTGCCCCTGGTGCCCGGAGCCCTGCACGGTCTTGGCGCCCCACCTCTGCTCCTTCTCACTCACGTCGTTCTGAAAGAAGAGCCAGCGGCGAGCACACCCCGCGGCCGGGCGTCAGCGCCCACGGCAAGGCCCGCCCCACGGCGCGCGGAGGGCGGGGGCGGGGCCCCGGGCACTCACCACGAAGTCGGGGTCGGTCTCCCAGTCGTCGGCGCCACTGTCGTCCTGGGTGACGGACAGGGTGTGGCCTGCCGAAGCCTTCCACATCTGCAAGGACAGCAGGGTGACGGCCTGACGGGGCCTGGGGGCCGGCACAGCCACACACAGGCTCTTGGCCCACAGCCGCCACAGCCGAGACGCGCCCGGCCCGCGCCTGGACGGCAACGTAGGAACACAAGGACATAAAAGGACGCCGTATGGGGGCTGACACTGCCGTCTAGTGGCACCAGAAACGCCCCAGAAATACTCTGGTTTCAGCTCCAGTGAGAAAGTGCCTGCGGCACAGCCCGGCCAGGCGTGCGCGGCCCCCATGCGAGGCCGGGGCCCCGTCCCGCCGCCTTGGGACGGCAGTGCTGCCGGGGCAGCGGGGCTCGGGCCTCCGCCGCGGGTGCACTCAGCATCACAGCGGGGACGCCGCACGTGGCCTGCATCTCACGTGAGTTCCAACAACAAAAGGAGCATCCCCTTTGATTTCCAGCGCTGCCGGGAGGGGACGGCAGCTTCCCTAACTGAGCCTGGCCAGCCCGTAAGCCTTCCGGTGCCCACTGAGCAGGCAGCTCCGCCACCCGTTCGTGTCCTGTGCCAGCCACCGCAGAAGGTGGCTCCCCCCCACCCCCAGCCTCTGTTAGGCTTCTGCCAGCAGAGCTGACCCTGTTCACAGCCACAGAGGTAAAATCCAGCTACGTGGGGGGAAGAGGGATTCGCTTTCCACGACAGAATTAACACGATCTCACCGGGGCGGGGAGCAACGTACAGCAGCTCAATTCAATCGCCGGAAGCCCCGCCCGGGTGTCTGGAGGGGGGCCTGCACCTCAGGCCCCCGTGGTGCCTCATGGGGCTTTTGTGCTTGACACAGGCAGGACAAAAGCCCCTCACAAACCTGAGAACCGACAGTGCCCCCGCCTGCTCTGCCGGGTCTAAAGTCCGAATTCAAGGTGGTAGCGAACGTGAATCAGGACACTGCTCTCAAATTTCCAGATGGGACTCCTGCCGCCGTCCTCTGGGCAGGGAGCCGCCTGGGCAGGGAGCCGCCTGCTTCCGGTGGGGCAGGACCAGCGACCCTCCCCGTCCGGCCCCTCGAACCTCGCTCCCCTCAGCTCGGGTGTCCCACAGCCCTGCCAGAATCTCCCATCTGAGCTCAGCCCGGACGCGATTTCAGAGGGCAGACACACTGAAACCTCCCCCCGGAGGCACCCGAGGGTGCCCAGAGCTCAGCGGCGTGCCCCCGCGTCTGCCTCCCCGGGTCACGCCTGCCCGTCTGCGGACGTCAGGGGACTCAGCTCCTGCTTGCATTTCCGACCCTAAGGAAAGGGACGGAAGGACCCGAGTCCCTGCAGGGAACTGGTGACGCCCTGCCCCCGGGCGAAGATGAAAGCACCCATCTGTGCCTGACTCATCCGGAAACCGTGAGCAGAGCCCAGCCTGCACTGATCTTTCTGGAAGCCAGTCCCCGTGGCGGCCAGGGAGAGCAGGTCCCCGAAGGCCACGCCTCTCACCGGCCCCAGAGCCAAGAGACGTGGCCGGATCGCTTCCCATCCCCCCCCCCCCCCATTCTGGAGCGTCCTACCATTCCCCTCCTCTTTCTAAACCACAGGCAACACTGGGAACTTGACTTTATTTTTTATACAAAGACATTCGGGGCAACGGTGGCCCCGATCTCTGCGAACCCAGCAGGACAGGGCCTCACCCAACCGTCCAGGGGACAGCAGGGCGACCGCTCACAATGTACAAACCTTTCTTGCCAGCGGAAGATGAAAGGCTGTTCACGAAGAAGAAGCAGAGACCCAGCGAGGGCCCCCCAGGCATCTGGCGATGCTTCCGTCTGAAATACATTCGGGAGAAGAGCTCAGTTGGGCTCTTCAGACAGGTGCTCCGGGCAAACCCTCGGGGGGGTGGGGGAGATCCTTCTAGAAGCCTCTGAAACCCTCCCCAGTGATGAGGACTTTTACAGAAATCCCAAAGGAGGCTGAGAAGATCTATCTGCTTGTTACTGACCAAAGAGCTGCAAGCTTTTCAGACACATGGAGAAACTACGGAAAGCGCGAAGTTTCCCAAGGTGTGTAACTGTGTGGCGTCCCCTCAGTGCAAACCGACACGACCATCTCGGTCGCCAGCACACACCTCCTGTTTGCTACCATCCCGAGGGTTCCATTTTTTTGTTCATGAATCTGACATTGCTAAAAATAATGAAATTCTCCCCAAAGGGATGACACGTGCCTGGGAGAAGCCAAGTGGCATGACCGCTACGGGGACTTGGCTGAGGGGCCAGCGCGGGGAGTGGAAGAGAACAGGCTGCGTTTCTAAGGCTTGGATCTGGTGTCGCAGGCGTGGGGCCAGCCCAGGAGCAGAGGCAAACAGGTTGTGTTTCCAAGGTACGGATCCGGTTACTGCGTGGAGATCCGAGCTCCGACGCCCCGGCCGCCCTCACCAGCTTTCCCGGAATGGGGCCCCGCACTGCAGGCAGCACAGGGCAGAGGAACAAAGCCCCCTGGCTCCCAGGAGCAAGCCAGTCACAGGCAGCCAGTCACGGACCAGCCACGGCAGGGATGCTCTGCTGGCCTTCCCCACACCCACCCCCCTGCCTCGTTCCCGGGCCTGCGACTCACTCCTTCCTCCTCCCCAGACCCCTCGAGAAACCCTAACGTGGGTGGGCTGCTTATGCATCCTGGGCACTGCCTGAAGCTCCTCCCAAGAGCCGCTGAAATCGACAATGATTTATTACCCTCGCAATATTTAATTTTTTTTAAAAAACCACAAAAAAGAGACTGAAAAATTAAAGCCCAGAGTACTTTGTGGATCCTAAGATAATGCCTCCATGCCCCCACCTCACGCCGTGCATAAAAATTCACTCAAAAATGTATCAAAGACCCAAACGTCTGAAATAATGCTATTTAACTCTTACAAGGAAACAAAGGCAGGCACAGATTTTCATAACCTTGAATCTGGGAATAGGTCTCAGATGTGACACCAAAAGGCACAAGCAAGAAGAGGAAGAACAAACTGGACAAAACGTAAAACCCGATGCTTCCAAGGACACCGTTGAGAAAGTGGAGACAAGTCACAGGTGGAAGAAACTACTTCCAAATCACGTGCCCGGGCTACATAAAGAGCTCTTCACAGCTCAACAATGAAAAGGACAGTTACCCACATTTTAAAGGGTCTGAACAGACATTTCTCCAAAGACAGACAAAGGGCTAGGAGGGTCCTGAAAAGATACTCGGAACTGTCAACCATCGGTCCTGCAAGTAGCAACGGCAAGGAGACACCAGGGCACCTCACTCACAGAGACCGGCACCACCAAGCTTGGTGAGCGGGCGCGGAGTAAACCAGGGCCCCATCCGTCGCCGGTGGGGATGCAAAATGAAAAAACAGCCTGGCAGTTGCTCCGAAGTGCCACACGGGGCTACCATGTGACCCTGGCCTCCCCCCCCCCCCCAGGGGAAAAAGTGCGTCTGCATGAAAATGCGCACAGGGACATCCCGGCAGCTTTCACGGCAGCCCGGGGTGCAAACAGCCCACGGGGCCGGGATGTGCAACACAGCACACGCTCTAGCCACACAACAGAGCACCCCTCTGCAATAAAAAGGAGGTACTGACACACGCTACGACATGGGTGACCCGTGAACACAGGCCATGGGAAAGCAGACACAAAAGGCCCCGAGTCATACAGCCCCCCTGCCTCCCCCCCACCCCCATCTCTGAAAGGCCCCGAGCCTGGAAACCTGTGCAGAGAAAAGCAGCCAACCAGCCCCTGTGGCGGGGATGGGGGCGGAGGGGAGGGGCTTCACAGGGTCTCTTTGTGAGGTGATGAAATTAACCTAAAATTGATCTTGGTGGCGATTGTACAACTCTGTTAATAGACTAAGAAGGACTGAATTGTCCTTTTTAAATGGTTACATTATATAATATGTGAAGTATGTCTTGATAAAGTTGTTACCAAAAAAACACCTTCAAAAAGAACTCCTCTACGCCCCATTAGCACACAAACAGTAAGCTTTCCTTGCAAATGTCCCTGCACAGGTTATGTCTGCACAGGTGTGAAATGACCTTGCACAGTCCCATAAGCAGAGCGGAAAAGTCCCCTCCGGGGGAGTGGGTGCTTCCCATGCACAATTAGCTTCCCAGGAGCCCCGCAGAGGACTCGGCACCTCAGCAGCCCCGGCCGCTCCCTCCTCCGGCCACTCACTCCCCGCCTGCCTCGGGGGTATTCACCCAGTTCGCGCTCCCCAGCAGCGAGGCCTCCCAGGACAGCCCCAGCTGCCCGGACTTCGTTCAGGCGACACCAGGCAGGCAGCGCCAGCAGCCTCCACTCAACTCCCTCCACGCAGTTTCCCAAATGAACACCAGTTCTGCTCATTTAGACGTGTTTTTAAGATAAGTCCATCAAAATGCTTCAACTACAACTGGGCTGCAGTGGGGCGTGGCCTTCCAGGTACTGGGGAATATAGTTTCAAATCAACTCTTGTGCCCCCGGGCCTTTGGCTCTTTTACTCTTCGGTCTGGAAGTCCGCGTTAGGGCTCCTCCTGGCTCCTGGAATATCTGGGAATAGTTTCCTCAGCACGGGAGAGAGAAACAGACTGTCTCATTGCCCCAGGGCGGGTGACTCACCGTGGTCCAGCAACCACGGGAATGCGGGTCAGGATAGGAGTGGCCCCCGGGACCCACAGCCCTTCCCGGGCCCGGCTGCAGGACGGGATCACGCGGTCAGGGCCTGGGAGGCGAACCCCTGGCAAAGCACCGGGCCCGGGCACTGCTGAGCCCAGACGCAGCGCGGGGAGGGAGCGCCCTTCGGGAAGGCTCCGGAGCTGCGTTCAGCGGAAGGTGGAATTCCGCCCCGGGAGGCCGACACGTCCACAGGTTCCAGCGGAGGAAGCCCTGGCCCAGGGCTTCACCCGAGGCCCTCCAGCGGGGAATCAAGCTCCCGGTGGACTATTCAGGCGATCGAAAAAAGAAAAGCAGAAACCCCGAAGCGCCTTTCTGGTGAGTTCCAGCGCCCAGTGGAGGGGCTGGCCCCGATGAAGTGCCGCTCGGCTGCGCGCGCTGCCGCGTTCCCACTGACCTGATTGCCAAGCCCGACGGCAGGTGCGGTCCTCCCGGTGCGACGGACGCCCCCGGAGCGCGACCCTCCCGATCCGAAACCGACCGCCAGGACCCCAGCCACTGCCCCGCGGCCTCCCACCCCCTTCCACTGAACGCCCGGGTCCAGGGCCCCTCCCCACGACCGCGCACTCCCTGTCCGTAGGGCCCCTTTGCTACCTCAAGGCCAGCCCCTCGGACCCGTTCCCCTCGGACTCCGGCCGCCCCGCTCCACCACGGCCCGCCCCCGGCCCAGGGAAGTCTCGCCCGCGCTCCCCCCACGCCCGAAACCGCGAGCGGAAGAGCGGCGAGACCGCGGCGGCCGCAGCTTCCTTCCCGTTTCGAGCCTGGCTGCGCCCCAGGAGCGCAGCAGAGGAACCGGCCCCTCCACCTGGCGGACGCCGCGCTCGCTCACCGCCGCGGGGTCGTCCGGCCCGGCTGCTCCCCAGCTCCCGCCGCTCCCGCCGCTCCCGCCGCTCCCAGCGCTCCAAGAGCTCCCAGGCGCCGCTCCACTTCCGGTTCCGCGGACGGGGGCGGGGCCGCATCCGGGTCCCGGCCAGGCCCCGCCCCCGCCCTGCACGCCCCGCCCGGCCCCAGGTTGGCTGCCGAAAGAGCCAGTAGCCTGCGCGGCTTGGCTTCCCGCAGCTTCCCCGCCCCCGCGGCGCCGACAGCGCCCGACGCGGGCACCGGCCGACCTCCGCCGGGTGCGTGCGGGGCCAAGCGCGCCTGGAAGGCGTGAAGCGCCTTCACGTGCAGGGCCAGGTTCCGGGGCGCCCGCCGTGCGCGGACGATCCGAGAAGATGCTCCAGATTCGTAGCGTTACGCGGGGTGAGACTGGGAAAATGGACCAGGCCTGGGGTCAATGTTAGTTCCCTGAGCGCCGAGGACTCATGCACACAGTGACTGTGACCACCAGTTAGCTGAGGGGACGAGCGTCTTCTTCACCCACCCACCCGCCTGTCCATTCATCATCCACACATTCATCCACCCACATCCAGCCATTAATCACCCATCCATCCATCATCCATCCACCCATCCATCCATCCACCCATCCGTCCATCCACCCATCCATCCACCCACCCATCCATCCACCCATCCATCCACCCATCCATCATCCATCCATCCATCCATCCACCCATCCATCCATCCATCCATCCGTCCATCCACCCATCCATCCACCCACCCATCCATCCACCCATCCATCCACCCATCCATCATCCATCCATCCATCCACCCATCCATCCATCCATCCATCCATCCATCCACCCATCCATCCATCCACCCATCCGTCCATCCACCCATCCATCCACCCACCCATCCATCCACCCATCCATCCACCCATCCATCATCCATCCATCCATCCACCCACCCATCCATCCACCCATCCATCATCCATCCATCCATCCACCCACCCATCCATCCACCCATCCATCCACCCATCCATCATCCATCCATCCATCCATCCACCCATCCATCCATCCATCCATCCATCCACCCATCCATCCACCCATCCACCCATCCACCCACCCATCCATCCGTCCAGAGAAGGCCAAGTACAGGTCAGGGATAGAAGGGCAGTACAACAACAGCATATCTTGACCTCCTGGCCCTTCCACCTTGTAGGGAATTCAGGCGTGAATCACCTAGATTATGTAATTAGGAAGCGCGGTAAAGGCCATGAGGAAGCCAAAGATGTCACGAAATTATACTGCGGAGAAGGCAGGACCTGAACTCGTTCAGATCAGG